GGCGGTGGCAGAATGAGGAGCAACGGTCTCGATGTACCACGAAGGGAAATCCTGTATTCACTGTTAAATGGATTTTTCACATAGCAACGGCTTTGAACAAACAAATATTTTTGCAGCACAAGAACTGGCAGAGAGTACTCCTTTTGAAAGTCAGACTTAATAAAAAAAAAAGGAGACTTTTAAACTTAGTATAGTGCCATGACAGTTTTAATGTTAACATGAGATCTATGAGTCTAACCCACCTTGCGGGTCACTTTCTCAGTCCCGGGGCCCCCGACTCGTCTTGAGGAAGTCCCAGCTGTGGGCAGAGATCGTCCTGGTGGGGGTCAGGAACGTTGGGCAGGAAGCCGAGGGGCTTGGGGTGGTCCTCACAGTGGGACAACCCTGCAAATCCAGGGATACCCTCTGTATAGCCATGGGTATCTACCCCCGCGGATGGGGATGCCCGGATATGGACGCGGACACACATTTACTATCTAGAACCCTGCACGTTTGCAGATGCGGGGGACGGGACGTGGATACATGTTTTGCCCCCATGCCGGGCTCACCCCGTTGGATCCCCACTGCCCGCTCCCTATGGCCAGCCTCGTGGCTTGGGAGAGGGGCCGTGGGGGGGGAATGGGGGGACGGGGAGAGCCGGGGGGGCTGGCTCCCGTCCTTTGTGGGCAGGAAGACCACGCAGGAAACGTGGCCGATCCACCACCACCCGGAAGGAGACCGATCTGGTGCTGGCTTTGCAGCTGGATCGACTGCTCTTGGCTGAGCGAGCGGGTGGTACGGTAGCAACCCAGGCGGTCCCATTGAGTGACCGGCATGGCCCTGAGGGGCAGGACCCAGGCCACATACCGAAGAGGGTTGGGGGGGCAAAGCCAGCCAAGGGGATGGAGCTAAAACCCCCTGGTCGTGGGGCCTTTTGGGCTAAGCCTAGAGAGACGACTCCAGTGGCCTATGGGGAGAATCTAGAGTGACTCTGTCACAGCTCACAAGTCGTGTCCACACTTCTCGGCTCCAGGGCGGACCCCCCGCCCCCAGGGGGCAGCCCCTCCTCGGGGAGCCCCTCCACTCCTCAGGGAGTCCACTCCAGTGCGGCAACCCTCTCTTGGGGGGCCCACTGTCACCTGGGGGGCTGCCCCTCCGGGACTCCAGCCACCTGCCTCCGCCGTGATCCCCTTTGGGGGGTCCACTCTGTCTGGCTCCCCGGGGCCTCCCCTCCCAGAAGGAATAGCGCCCCCCTGTTCTCCAGCCCAGAGCGACTCTCAGCCAGCACCAAACAGGCGGGTTTATTGAGCTTTGAACAGCAACGGGTCTCTCAGGCCAGCTGGCCTCGGCCCCCACCCCCATCTCCCCTCCAGCCACCTCAGG